ATTACAGCAGTGACTAACATGGCAAATTAATATCAGGGTGATAATGCATTTGGATTTTTGCAGTAAAATTAAATGAGTTGCAGAAAAGAAAAAAAGTGCTGCCTTTTGACATGTCTGGATGCTCAGGCACAAGAGGTGATGCTGCACCAAGAAGGCTGCACAGTCCAGCTACTGAACTATGCATAAATAAATTACTAAACTTTTCATTCTTGCATTTTGAGACAATTTTAATGGCACCCAACTTGACTAGAGAAAAATCCTGCAAGATGTACTGGTTCATTCCCTGTCGATTAGTCTCTCTCCATGGATCCTTGGACTTTCTAAGTGGATGCAGCCTTGAAATTGTGCTGCTTTCACCTTGCACACAGCAGGTTATTCAGTAAGGACCTGCTCTGGCTCTGGCTTGCTTCACCTGAAACTGTAATCCTACAGTAGGTCAGCTGTCTTTTAAAAGGTGTTTTTGAACCTGACATGGATTTTGAATGAAGGTTTACATCTATTCCCTATCTAGAAGTGAGCATTGACTGTCATTACAGATATGAAAGGTTCGGTTCCCAGCGCTCCCAGAGACCTCAGAGATTTTGGGGAAGTTACTTATGGCCAATGAGAGTTGCTAATGAAAAGATGATATAGTGATGGTGAGTGCATCAAAAATAAAAATGAATTTAAAAAGCTGATTGAAAATTAAACCCACCCAAAACCCCAAACCAAAGAAGAAAAATTAACTTGACCCTTGCCTCCCTATGAGCAGTCATAACACCATAGCCTTTATTTTCTGCCATCAAGACAGACTGAAGCAAGGACTGACCCTTCATGTACATTTCTGTGGCATCAAAATCCTATGGGAAACCAGTGGCAATTGAGGGCTTTAGCTACATGACATAAAGAATAACTGGGTTTTCAAAATATCATTCACTCCTTGTAACATCATTTCTAGCACCGTGCTGTTCGCACAGCCATGAAAAGCAAAGCAACTCCTGCAAACTGTAAGAGCTTTTGTAACTCCATCCTACACATCTAATTGATCAGCTATGCCAAAAAGAACAAAAGTCTTTCCATAGCTATAGTTATTCTATTACAGGTTATGCAGATAAGGTTACAACTAGAGACAGACACATTTTTTTCCAGATAAACCTTTTCCACTGACAAATACACATGATCACAAACTTTTCATGAATGGGTATTGAGTTCATCTATTTTCTAGCTAAGAGCCTGGAAAATGGTTTCAATCTAAATTTACTTGCAGGTAATTAGAAATGTCTAGGAAGTTTCAAACCGTGAAATATGAAATATTTAAATATTTTTTTCAATTAGTTTTAATTAATCAAAAATTTCACTTCCGGCCTTCACCTCTGTTATTGTACACACACAAACACACCTCTGTTATTGAAGAACCAGTTACCTGAACAGCTTCACTGGCCTCCCTTTTGCCTCCTGGAAGCTTCTCCTTTCAGGCAGTGGCTGTAATGCCTTTTAAATGTATCATCAAAAATATTTCCTTCCCCAAGTTAGGGCATTGCTGAAGCCATGGCTTAAATAAAACAACCAGGACTGTGACTGGGAGTTCCTTTATGAAGGGAGTGAGATCCAAAGCAAAGTTTTGCCTAGTTCCAAACTTCCACAGGCATTTGGACACAGCTTGTGTTCTATGTCCCAGAGTGGGGGAGAAATGATAAACACATGAAAGCAGTGACCATCATGTGGGCCCAATCCCAGTCACTGATATCAAGGAAGAATTTTCACATTGACTTGTGGAACAACAAGCTGGAGCCTTTGGAAGATGAGACCTGCATGGAGTTGTGAAATTAGCTGACAGTGAAGATGCTCATTCTCCTTAATCCCCTACTGTCCCTGTTACGTGCAGTACTCTGTTTAGTAAACTCTTCAGTAACAGCAAAAATAAGTCTACAAAACTACTGAAATCTTCTTGGCACTGGCAAGACTTTGCTTTTATACCATCTTGGTTTATGCCTGCTAAAAAGTCCCAAGAAGGATAAATCTGAGGACTTCACAGCAAGCACAGAGTTTGGGGTAAATGTTTTGATTGCTGATAAATGTTTTGATTGCTGAGTTACATTCTTGGGTTATCCGACAATTTACTTTGCAACTACAGTTTGTCAGGATTTTATGGATGATTTTCCATTTACTTTTTCTAATCACTTTTCATTACAATTTTTGCCTCACTTTTCCCTGTTGAAAAATGGATGTGGCACTACCTTTTCAACGAGACAAGGTAAAAATTCATTTGGTAATGTTTTTGAAGCAATTTGCAATGAATGGTTTGTAGCTGAGCTAAATACAATGTACTATTAATAAAGTAATTAAAGAAAAATAAATAAGGAAGGATTTATGTGGATTCCTATAAAAGGCAACTGGTAACGAGGGAAGAATTTTGCCCATTACTGGAGCACATAGCTCCATAGGCAAATTAAAACAAGGGCTCTGTCCTCAGAGTTTTGGGCAATCCAGGCTACATAATTGATTTGAGAAGAGCTACTCCAGGCTACTGTGTAATTACAGAAGTATTCACTCTTCTGGCTCCCACTCTCCTTGTCATGTTCTACCTCATTGCCCTTTATGCTAAAGCCTTTGTTGATGAGGGAACGGAAGCAGTAAGGACAAATAAAGCAATTAGCAGGTAGGGGGAATGCTACCACTGTTTAAGGATAACACACAGCTTGCATTGGGACATTTACTAAGTAGAAGTCTAGAGCCTGCAGGTCAGAAGGAAAATACAGGTAATCCAGAAAAACAAAGAAAAAAATTTTAAAACCATTTTTGTTGAAAGTGTAGTATTCAAGAAATCTTGGCAGGAATAAAACATTTTCAAATAGTCTATATAAAAAAAACCATGGTGATTTTACTTAACGTATTTTTAGTGTGATTAGCTTCCAACTTTCTAATTTTATTTTTTTTAAACCAGAATCTCATCACAAGAGTGCTCTTCTCTCCTGTGTCAAGTGTGCATTGGCAGTAAGCAAACACCAATTTTTTGAATGGCTAAAATCTCATTTAAAATTGCTGCAGAGGCAGCCAGGAGAGGGAGCCAAGACCTTGAACAAACCTTTCTTCCTGGCTCTCTGACACCCTGGGAAGGAAGCTGAGCCATTTTGGCCAAGGCTGCTGTGTTCTCTCAGGGCTTATGTGAATGCATTGCATGAGGAAGGGACAAAAGTGACTGGGAAACAAAACATGGAGTCCCCAGGAATCAAATGTTGGATGACTCATGGTATAAGGAGAGAAGAAAGCAGAAAGGCACATGAGGACTGGTGGAAATGAGCAGTACTGTAGTTTTTCACTTTTCATGCTTCCACTGCTCATCAGGAGACCAGGACTGGAGGTTGTTACAGTCCATGGACTCTGGTTCTTTTCTTAACTCATTATCAGTTAAATTTGAGATAGGTATGAAGAAAATAATAGAATTTCTGCTGAGTGTGGTGGACTGAGATCATGGGCAGTCTAAAATCAGATCAGAACTGCGAGGCCAGGCACTGCAATGCACTGAAGTGCTGCTGCTCCTCCAGTGCTTGGGTGGAGTTGGGCTCTGATCTCCAGAAGCAAGTCTAAACTTTATCTCCAAAACACATCAGTCCAAAAGGCAAGGACATTGCATGGGGGGGAGAAAGAAAAGAAAATGGAGAACATGAAGAACTCAAGTGGACAAGAAAAAACATTTAAAATGTTTATGAGAAGAAATATTAAAAATTAAGAGGACAATTTCATTCAGGGCCATTTGTCATATTTTTCTAGCTGAAAAACTAGAAGAAAGGAGAAGATTCTGAGTCCAATTTAATAATCTAAATTTTTTTTCATTTCCAAGCTTTCAGTATTTCTAAGTATAATTTCTCTTCATTTTCTTCCAGTAAAATTAAAGATATGGTGACCAGTCTGTAATAGGGAAAGCAATAATCAGAAAAATCTTAAGTCTTTTTTGCTAACTAAACTGAAAACTGTATTTCAAACTAAACTTAAACAAAACCAGCTTCATTTTGATTCCTTTGTCCTGAAACTTCATTCTGAAATCATAGAAAAGTCCAAGTATACACTTTTGGGTTTTTTTCTAAAAATCTTTAGGAATTTATTTTTTCTTCAAACATTTTAAACAATTTTAATTATTATGACTGTTAAAATAATTTATTTGTAGACTCAGATAACAAATTAGTTCCTTACTATCAAATTAATTTTTTTACTGCATGGTGTTGATTTCTTTTTCCTCATAGTGCAGGTAGCAACTTCTCAGAAGTGCATCCAAAATAAACTAATGATGAATAGTGACAAACTGAATTGAAAACAAAGAGAACTTTTTGTGATTTGTTATATTGAGCTATTTTGTCATTTAACTACTCTTATCTTACAGATCAAAGTATTTGGATTGGAGACAAACACATTATGCTCTATTTCCTGAACTACCTTCTGTTTCTAGAAGCCTGGCAGTATTTCTTCAGGCATTGCACCCAAGCTATGAAATTGATGAAGTTTATCCAGATCCTCCACGAGGTAGTGAGGGATCAACTTGGAGATGTTTCTGAACAGCAGCCCCAAGAATAGAAATCAGTGGAGAAAATTCTCATAACTCTTTTCAGGAAGCTCAGGGGAAGCAAGTTAATAACTGTGCCTAAAGTTAGATGCCAGGAGCATTTTTCACTCCTTCTGAACCTGGCAGTGCAAGATCTTCCTCAAGCAACATTGATACCAATCTGCAGAAGAGAAAACAGAGGCACCTGGAGAGACAATTCTGCATGGAAAGGGTTGTCTGGAGACCTGAACCAGGTATCTGAAATCCCATTCTGGTGCTCTCTCCTTGAACCACACAGTGCTGTGGTGCAGGGAAATCTGCCTTGCTATGCTTGCTTTGTACATAAACACAAAAGTTAATTTCTCAGACTTTAGAACCTGGCCACATGCTGCAGAACTCTCTGGATTATTGCATTTCCAGCAAGTGGGAATAAAAGGCAGAGCTTGCTGTATGAATGACTGCAGACCGTGTCCTGTCAGGGGCTGCATGGCAGAGGCAGAAGCATCATGATGAATCCCCAGAGCTATCCTGTAAATCTTCATTAAAGTCAGGCGGAGTTTCAGCTCTGTTATTAAAAGTTCAATTACACTCTGCAAGTAACAACAGAAGCAAATTGATAAAAATAGGGTAGGAGACAATAGGTGTCAAGCAAAGAAGACCACTAAAATATGTGCAGAGAGCCTGGAATAATATGAATAATGAACAAATTTGTAAAAATCAAAGTCTATTGCAGATGAATAATAAACAGAGAAAAGGGCAGGATTGGTTGAATGAATTATGCATTATGAGTCATTTTACAAGCACCGATACCTATAAAGATAATGGTTCTAATGTAAATAACAAGCCTTTAATATTTATGCTGCCTTAATAGTCTGGGGAGTCAGTAATGATAGTTAAGAATTATACCTCTCCTCAGTGTTTTTCAATGGAAAACAGGTTTATCATAATGCCACAAACACAAAGCAGTTTCATGCTAGGTTTGATACACCTTTAACTCCACTCTGGATCGTGTCTGCCCTAATGCTGGAGTCTGGACAGAACCACGACTTCTAATTGACAGCAATGCCATGGCAATAAAATCAGGCCCTTATCACAGAGCATTCAAACTGTGACAAAACTGGACATTTCACTTTCCTTTCTGCTTTGAGATAAGAATCTCTGTACTGACTTAGTGCAATCTCAGCAGTGAGAGGAGAAATGAAATGAAAAGCGCCCTCCCCTTCCTCCGTGCACACAGCTGTGTGTGGGAACAGGAGAGGCCCCAGAAAGCCCTGTGCAATCACAGCTGGGCTGTTAATTGCCTGGCCCTGTGCACAGTCACACCTTGTTGCTCCTCTGCCACAAGAAAAGGCCACCCAGCCCAGCAGTGCCAAGGCAAAGGCGGAAGGGTTTCCATAATTCCTGCGTGTCATTCTCACCTCACGGAAATGCCGATGTGCCAGCGCGGGCACGACCCTGCCTGGGCTCCCACGGCTGGCAGCAGTGCTCAAAGTCAGGGAGTGACTGCGAAAGGATTGGCTTTCTCTACCCCCTTTTTGTTAAATTGAGGTTACAGCACAGGAAAAATCATTTATTCACAGGAGCAAAAGCAGCTGAGTGCAGCAGCAAGCACCTGGCCCCTGATCATAGCAACAGAGCCCAGTTTTCCCAACCACTCTTACTCCTTCCGAGAGAGAATGATGATTCTTAAAGAATTTCACAAAGACCTTGGGAAGACAAGGTTGCCATGTCCATTTTCCTTCTGTGAGACTGAGGATTTCTGCAAAACCTACTTACTTGGAGGTCTGATCTGGCACTTGGAGGTCTGATCCCTGGCTCTTAATTCAGATGCAAAACTGGCACATACTGAGAGTCACACTATATTGAATTGCATAGAGCCTGCAAAATATGTTGAGGGTTTTTTTAAAAATAACTTGACCTGCAGGATATTAATATAGTGGCAACTACCCCTGCAGGATATAAAACTGGCACCGACTCTAAGAACTTCTATTAGTGTAGCAGGTTTCTAGGCCCAGTAATGGTCATTTCATCTGAACATGTGGAAATAAAACCAAACCATAATAGGACTTACAAAGCATTCAATGCATATTTGTCCATAAACACATCATATAAATAAAAACTCTTAAAAAAAAAAAGTGCCAAATGAATCAATGTGTATTTTATTATGGAATAATAATATCCCTTACCACATGTGTTGCTGAAGCAAATAACTTTAACTATATAACTGGTATGATAGTATTTTCCATCTTGTGGTACAATTTATATTTTCATCTATTGATTAAGGACCTGCCCCTGAGGAAGTTAACGACCAGAGTTCCCCAGGCTTAAAAAGAGAAGAAAAAATGTGTAAACAATTTGGCTGAAAATAAGGAATCAAATGTATTTCCTCCTCCCCTTTCTCCTAGCAAGAGTGAGTGTAGAATACAAAACCAGTTGAAGACAGTGGAAAGATTTGCTCCTTACTTCAGCCAGCAGCTTTGCTGGCCCTAAGCATGTATGTGTGAGATACATTTTGGCACTACTGGAAACCCCACCTCATACCTCCCACTGTGAACATGTCATCTTTCTATGTGCTCATGCATGCCAAAGCTTTATCTCTTTTGAAATATTGCCCAGAATCAAGCTATGTTTACTCAAGTAATAGGGAGATTCACTTATATGCAATAATTTCTTCAATGGAGAGGCTCTTTCTGCAGTTGTACTTTGGACTTTGTTCCTAGTTTAGCTTCTGTTTTTCTAACTTGATGTTTTTATCCAGGTTTGACAAGAGGGTTGGATTTTTTTAATTTTTTTTTTTTTTAAGTTAGACACCTGGAATTAGCTTTTCCTGCCAAGAATTACAGTGCACCTGGAAGTACTAAATCATTTTAATCTGTTTTTTAGTGGTTTTGCACAATGGAATTGCATCTCTTTAAATCTTTCTTACCTTTTGCAAAACTAAATTGCAGCTCCAGACAGAGCATTTTATGAGTATGTAGATAGTGATATCATGAGATAGTTGTGCCCTGCTAGTGACTGCCTCTACTGATCCTGGAGGCAGTTAGCTGAGAACTGCATCTCCAGGTTTCTTTCCTCTGCAGTGGCTCTGCTTACCTACATAACATATGGAAATGTGAGCATACACTTACAGCGGATTGTTTGCTATGTTTACACCAGTTCTAACACTAATCCCCATTAATGTTTGATATTGCTCCCAAAGAGTTTAAATAAATGTCAGGCCTCAGATCCATTGCATACGTGTAAGGCATCGTATAAACTTCGGGTGGAAAGACACCAAAACGCTGTGTCGTGTCCTTTTTTTAACAGTACTTTTACTGGCTGGATTAACCACATCAAGGTATGCAAAGCCCTGCTACTTTCATGATTTCTGTCATCACATTTAAGAGACCTATTTTCAAGAAAAACAAGCCAGTTTCACATCACCTTTAAAGTCCACTGTCTTGCTTCTGCTTTCAGTGACTTCCATTTAGCAAATGTGTGCGTGAGTGCAAAGTGAAAGAACAGCCAGATACATACTAACAAACATAAAACATTGCAAAGCCCTGCTACTTTCATGATTTCTGTCATCACATTTAAGAGAACTATTTTCAAGAAAAACATAAGCCAGTTTCACATCATCTTTAAAGTCCACTGTCTTGCTTCTGCTTTCAGTGACTTCCATTTAGCAAATGTGTGCGTGAGCGCAAAGTGAAAGAACAGCCAGATACACACTAAGAAACATAAAACATTTTCCTCTCTGTTAAAAAATATCAGACACAGCCATGCTAGCTGCACTTCGCTGCAGAACAATAACCACCAGGGTCATGGCAAAGTTTGCCCCAGGCTCTGTAGCCCATCCAGCAGCAGCCTGGGTGCCTCAACTTGTAAGAAAATATTTAACTGCTGTGCAGAGAGACATGCAAGGGAACAGCCTGTGGACCACAGAAATGGCAAGTGCCAGGCAGATTCCCAGCTCAAGCTGCTCCTTTGCCCAATATGAGCTATATGTGCTTACTGGGATTTTATGTTACAGCAGAGAGAAATCTAGAGACCTTCATTCTTTGTCTGCCACATGGAGAAGGAAGCTGGTCAGGCCTCTATGCCAGGCATTCCCTTTGTCTCTCACCTTCCTTTCCCTATTTGATTATTTTACATGAGGCTGTTTCTCCTGATGATTTTTTTTTTTAATTACTGTTTCAGAGGCTCAGCTCTGAGGCTGCAAAACTTTCCTATCAACCACCGCCATCAGTGTCAGTCATATTTGGGATGCAACCACTTTGCATTTAGAGGACTTTCTCATTATATGTTTACATAGTGCCCAGTTCAACAAGACCTAGATCTTAACCAGAGCCTTTCTGAAACCCTTCTATTGTCACACAGGCAATAGCAATAATATTCAGCTACAAAAGCCACCAGCTCAAACGAGCAACACTGTGGGAGTGTGCCTAGGGACAGCAGAAAGTCAAGAGTAGAAAGTGGTTATTGAGCCAGGCTTGTAATTGAACAGAGCTGATCTGTTCCTTTAGGCTAAAGGCAACTAATTTTCACTTCATCTAACCACAGAAAAAGTACATAAAAGCTGCAGACACAGCCATATCTCTTAAAACATAGTGTTGTTTAGTAACAAAAATAATTGGACTTCACAAGTTAATAGGTTTTGCAGCAGGAGATAATTTTATGTTAAATGACTAAGCTGTGTCTCAACCTTTGCTGGGCTCATTATAGCCTTTAAGTAGTTCAAGTTTCCAGATAACCAGCAGCAGAACCAGGTAAGCAGGCAAAATTAGTGTGGCTGGGAAAATTTGTATCTGTCACACAGGTCTGGTTCCCACACACTCTGGTTACATCATTACTTAGTCTGTTAACTAGGAAACCAATTAGGCCAGAGAGCTGCTGTCAGGTGACCAAAACACGAAAATGCACAAGAAACCCTACCCGAAAGATGGGATTTCAGCAGAGGCCCACAGATAGCTGACTCCTCTTCTGCTGCACTGCAATTTTCGTATTTCGTTTCGCCTTTGCTTTCAGGCTGAGCTCTGAGGTCCCACAGATTGATGGTTGAAGGAGCCTTGTTTCTCCCCTCAACAGGTGTGCTGAGAAAATTGTTTCCTGCATCAAAAATTATACAAAATTATGTAATAATTTCTCTCATTCACTCTGGCAAATTTCCTTCTCCTTCGCACCTTTTAATTTACAGGGTGAGAACAAGGCAGTAGGTACAGAACTGAGTGCTGCACTGTGGTTAACAGTACCTTCATCTTAAAGGAAAAGGCTTTATAAGACCAGGGTGCAGCTAAAATTCAGGGCACAAACACTTTCAGCAATGGTTGTTTGTTTTCTACAAATCTGAAGACGTTTGTCCATGTACAGAGGAAGCACAAAGGTCTCTGGGCTCACCCTCATCAAAGAAGTGCAGGGGCAGAGGAATCAGCATAGGGCACTGGGAGAGGTGAAAGCCAGTTTCCTGTAAATTATACATAAGATGGGAATGTATGTACAAATAAATACACCTAATCTTTATATTACATCACTATAAATAATGATGGCTTAAATGCTGCTATAAATAATAATGGCTAAAATGCAGCTTACATGACTATAATTCTTTTTATATGCATATATTTTAGACACATACATATATATAAATGTGTATGTATTGTATACCACAAGTGGTGCAGATATTTTCTAGCTTGCCCATCTTTCCTGATTCTGGCATCACCTGAAGAGCTCACTGACCTGCTAAGTCCTTGCTCTAATCTACTGAAAACCTGCAAACACCTCCAATACCTTCACTCTGGGCCAAGAGCACTAACAAGCCACATGCTCTTTCTCTCTGTTCTCATCCAGATTTATTTTCTGTTAGGACAAGGAGATAGAGGGATTAAACCTCACCTCAAAAGCCTCAAGAAGAGACTTCATGAACAGGGGAGGGCAGGCTGAGGGCATGGGGTCCTCTCCCACTGGTGGGTGATACTGGAGTACCAGCACTGCTCTTTGATCCCTAGCACAGTGCCTTTGGGCTAAAGGGTTTGCCCCAGTGTGGCCCCCTTCATTTTTGATGGCCTGTCAACTTTGGGAAAATTCTTTGGGGAATGGTCATCAGAGGAAGCAAAGTAATCAGAAATACTTTCCTTCCCAATGGTTTTGGTGAGCAGATGACTTGCTCAGTGTGCAGAGAAGAGCAAAGCAGTCCCTGCCAGCTCGGGGAACCAGGCTCTTGCATGTTTTCCAGCACAAGCACCTCATTATTAATTCATGCTCCAGGTCCTCTGTACATGCTGTTAGTAATATTAGGTTTCAACAGAGTAATGAGCAACAGCAATAGACTGACTATCTTAATATATTTTAAATAATGTTTGAAATATTAAATTTGAGTTTGGATTTTTAATTAGAGCCTGGGCAGAGTATTGACAATCTTCCTACTGTTTTGCAGCCAGCAAGCAAATAAGATAGGGATTGTTCTGATCTGAACACTGAAAGCCAGTCTGATTTAGGGGATGGATCTGAAATACAACACCAAACTTTAAAGCATGAGGCAAATTTGGCTCTGGCTTCAGCAGACAGACTTTGACCCATCCTTATACTAAAAAAGGACTTTTGATATGGGACTTTCATAAAAGTAAACATTGTGAGACCAGTACTTACGGATATGCTCTGGAACATCCTGTCACTGAGTTGCCCAGGGTCAGTTTGGCTCTCAAGGACACCTCTATTATTAAATAAAGGGAACATGGTGTAGTTGGACACAGAGAAAAGGAGTTGTTGTGGTATAAATATAAATATATAGTATAAATCGATCCCTTTAGGACATATACAGTAGAAAAAAAAAACAAAGGCAGGCAAGCTACGGGTCTGAAACCTTACAGGGCTTCAAACTCCTTCCCACTGCTGTGCTCCAGGCAGGAGCATAGGTCAGCATCTCTTCCTTGCTTGGACATACATATATTAAAGGACTCATTTAAAATTGGAGCTGGGTAAAGAGCTAGAGCCATTTTCCTGTCCACATTTCTGAATGTGCTCCCTTTGAGAGGGAGTTGGCAGCGAAGATTTTGCTGTTCTGGAACTCACTCCTTCCACTTGGCCTGTTGGGACTCTGAATACATTGACCTATGGGGCACATTGCAAAGCCTAACTATTTTCCCAGGATTTTTCTGAATGAATGACTTGAGTAGGTAGAGAGAAGAATGTTTCATTTGTACAGTACGTGGAGGCTTTTAATTAATAATATTCCCATTTGAATGCCTATTGTATTTTTAAACGTGCTTTGTACATAGACCTAGAGCATCAGATAACTGCAGGGTTGGGTTTTTTTCCAATTAAAACAAAAGAAATCCCACAACTGTGTGGCATTGCTGCCACATGCCTTTTTGTGGTCCCTTTATACAGTGTCTAGCACAGCAGTCCCTGATCTGGACCATGACTTCTCAGTGCCAGCACCTTACATAGAACTGTCCAAGCTATGGCAGCTCTCAAGAAGATTACTTTCCAGCTGGAGAGTTTGCCACTGCTGATCACTACTGTAAGTTTGGGGATGTTCTTTAGTTGGTCACTGACATTAGAGAAGTGCCCAGGCTCCTCAGGGTGGCTTTACCTTCTTCCTGTCTGGATTTGGAGCTCTTGAGAGATTGGGTCTTTTCTTGGGTATGTTGGGCATTTCATATTTTTATAACAAGAGAATCAACCTGGTGTCTTCTCACAGCAGACAGGTTTTGTTTGTTGAAAATAAAGGTCTTCATAAGAATTTAAGTTTTTACTGGTTCCTACAGTTCAAGTAAGAGTTTTTCAATTTTTTTTTTCTGTAAAAAACACTTCTTTTGGTAAAACGATACTCAGTTTTGACCTCACAGATTTCTTATTTTTTGTCTGCTTTGGCCCTCCCTAAACACCCTGACATAGCCTGAAGAGAAACATTTTATATTTTCATTTAAAAATGTCTCTGAATTTAAAATTTTCCTACAGAGGTATTTATTTAGCTGTTGGGTCCAGCTAGTGGTCTACAGGTCAAATCTGACTCAGAAAAATGCTTTTTATGGTCCAATTCTTTCTGCCTGTGGGAGATGAAGGCCCCTTTCCTGTACTCCATACTTCTAAAGCACGTGAGTACATCCTTCTGTGCCTGGTCATCACATTTTTCTGATTTCAGGCTGCTGACAACAGTCAGCTTTTTAAAAAATCTACACCCAGACCAGTGTGTCAGATATTTTGAGGAGACAGGTGAGGGCGCTGCCAGCAAACTGGAGTTTTATTGCACAACTCATTGTCTTTAAACTGTTTTCTTGATGAAGAAGTTGTTGTGCAAAGACAAGTATCCAACAGGCTTTTTCCACACTGCATTTGTCCTTGTTTCAGTTGTGTGTTTTGCTGCTGGAGCAAACCACCACCCTTGAAAGCATTAAAAACCCCTCCTGCCACCTCCGCTTTTTCATTCCTTTTCACTGAGTAGGCTGCCAGAGTTGATTTTCTGATTATTTACTGCAACATCCTTTCCTCCATGGCCATGGGGCCTTCCCTCCCTGATCAGGCAAGCGCAGGGCAAAGGACCAGGTGAACTCAAACCTGTCTCCAGAATCTTAATGCAGAGCTCCTTTGAAAAACACCATGGCCAACCACACCATTTTTGTTCCTCACTGAAAACCCTGTGAGAATCTTACACTTAAATCAAGTATTGCACAAGCTTCCTTATGTGGCTCACCACAGCTCTGACCTGAACTACCCTTGTATATCTGTCTCCCTTAGGGAAGACAGAATGGTTTGTACTGAACTGTGAGAAGGGCTCAAATTTGTACAAATTTTGCCCTTACATGAAGATGCACAAGGGCCAGTTACAAGGAGAGGGCAGGGTTTAGCTTTAAGCCAAGATAAAACACCACTTTCCAGAAGAAAAGAGCTGATGAGATGCATTATTCCACAGAGTAACTAATCTACTGCAGGTGCAGCGGTCATCATCTTATTCTATTTCTTGATTGTACTATACATGATGCATCTTCAACAGATTAAAGGCCCTTAATTTTCCATTGCTTTTGCAGTTGATGGAATCCCAAGAAAATTTTTACTGGGAAAAAAAATCATACCTTTCAACATGGATGATGGCACACATATAGGAGGAATAAACAGTTTCAGATCTAAAAACCCTTCCTATAAAAATATGTTTAAAAAAACAATTCACAACAAACTGCTCTCATGCAGTTAAGATTTACATCCAAAGGGATGAGGTACAATCACACATTTGAAGTATCCAGCATCTCTAAGTGAGATGTTCAGCTGTGCTTACTGATGATGAGATGCCACCAAGCAAAAGAATATTTAGTGCAATTGACTTTCCCTTAAGGAGTCCTCTTTAAAGACACTTATCTGAACACATGCTATGGTGGAGAATGTTGTGACTGAATTATTCAATCTATTTCGTGTTAGAAATTTGTACACAAAGTCTGAAAGACGGGCAATCCCTGCTCTTCTCTAATTATGCTGAGTGTGAAGATCTCTGGGACACAGCCTGACAACAATGCTAGGAAAGAACAGACTCCAGAGTGACTGAACTGACTCCAGAGTCTACAGCAGACAACATCTCTTCAAAATAAGCCACACAGGTGGTGATAACCCATTACAGACACACACCTAACTCCCAACATTAGAAAAATACAAGGCATAATAGGAAATGCTTACAATTGCTCACCATGGGTGTTTACATCACTCAAAAGCAGATGTTTTTTGTCCAGCTAAGCTGGACTGTAGTTTTGGTGTTCTCAGATCCACAGCACCCATGGATATTCAAAAAATATCCCTGCTTGCTATGTCCATTCCCATCTCATCTGGCTGTGAGGTGGTGAGATCTGTATCATATTTCTATGAGCTGCACAAATGCTGCTTCCAGATTCAGCTGCTGCAAAACATTCTACATGAGTCTGAACAAAGAGATTCCAGCTGGTCCAGGCTGAAGCAACATGTTTGCTTCCTTCTCCCTTTCATCTCTAAGCTCATTCATGCTGAGAGTGAATATAATTGCTCTCCATAAATACATTCAGGTTAGGCACTAAAGCGAGAGAAAAGATACTTAAGCAAATGGACAATGACGACACAAGAACAAATGATTACTAATGAGCAATTAATAAATTCAACCCATAAATTAAAGTTTCTGATTATCAAAAGACTGAATTTCTGTACCACTGTTCTTTCCACTAAAACTAGGAAGAAAAGAAATAGAATTGTTTTGTGAAGCTTAGTAAATGTATAGACTGTGAGATACAGTTGCTCATAGCAGCAGAGGAATGGACTTGGTAATCTACAAGATCCCTTCCCCTTCTACGCAAATAGCGAACACAAAATCTAAACCACTGCCTGGAGTCTATATTAGCCTTCTGTTTTACTTTTATTTCAAGCCCTTTGGAATCTGACTTTTTTAATGTTCCACCAAAGTTGCTCTTGCAAAATCTTTTACAGGTTCTTGTTATGTAAGAACCAACACTTAATCATTTTTCTTTCTGATTTGCCAGATATCTACTCCTTGAGCAACCTGATGGCTTATCTTCCTCATCTTCTGTGAAGGACTTTCTTCATCTGGCTTTTTCTCCTCCAAAAGTTCTACAAGTTCTATTGTGATTATTTTCTCATGTCTTTTACACCTGGCCTGAAAATGTAGCCCTCCACAGAAATATCACAGTAAACATTCTATTCCAAATTACCTCCTTTTCTCTTCACATTTTGCAGTGCACACCACCAACCACAGTAAATACTACACATGGCAAATAAGAGCCCTAAAGCCTGTTTGGGGAACTTGTTATGGTGTCAACAAGCAGTTTTTCTGAATTAGGCTGAACCACCCTGTCAGAATCTTCTTTCTATCTGTCACACATACTTATGATATAATTTTTGACCTAAACTTCACGCTTCAGCTCTGTTGAAACTTTAGAAGTTCTGTCCAATTACACGAAGCTAAAGGTCCTGCACTCATTATATTATGCACTGATGCTGAAATTTCCTTTTTTTTCTTTTCTGTTTTTGATGAGTGCAGATTTAACCTATTGCCTGCCATCCATCCATCCATCCATCCATCCATCCATCCATCCATCCATCCATCCAAAATGCTGCTGCAAGAAATATTTTTTGTTAGCTGATTTCCTTCTAAAGTGACCCACTATATTTCCTTCTTTTGTCAGCCAATACAAGATTTTGGCTTTATTCAAAAACTCTCTTTGTTGACCTCCTGCATCATGTTGAGCCCCTAGACATAAGCTCCCCCTCACAATCCACCAGTGAGCACCTACCTACACCTATTTGCTTGATTATCAGTTCTCTTTATGACTTTTTTCTAGCCTTCATCTCCTGGGAGCAGCTCTGGTGACTTCATGTTATCTCATTATCCTCCTTCAAAATGCTGATGTAAACTCTTCTGACAAACTACCTAAAAAAAATAAAAAAATAAAAAAAAAACCCCAAAATTTTAAAGTGATATTTCTATGATTATTGTTTATTAATGTCATCAATAGGGTTTGACTGTTTCTTTGTCCCTCTCTTACATACTTTGTAAATGGTCCAGGGCAATGACTGGCCCCTTAATCTGTATTTATACAGAAGTTAGTTCAGTGGTGTTCTGGCTCTTGAAAAAGCCCTGTGCTGATGCTCAGCTGTGACAACAGAAGAAATACCACTGTTATGTCAGGAACACTGTTCTGTCTTTTGTTCCAACTACTGCCATTCCCTGTCCAACAGTGA